GTTGTTTGGTAATAAAAAATGCGTTATGCATGGCGGCAAAAAAAACGCGGCGTTCTAAGAAAAACACTTGCTACCCACTGTAAAATACGGTGGAGGTTCCATCATGCTTTGGGGCTGCGTTGCCAATGCTGGCACTGGAAATCATATTAAAGATGACAGTCGCATGGATTCCACTCAAGATCAGCAGATTCATGAGAATAAAGTTCAAGAATCAGTTACGAAGTTGAAGTTAACGCCGGGGATGGATATTCGAGCAGGACAATGATCCAAAACACAGCTCCATATTTACTCAGGCATTCATGCAGAGGAATAATTACAATGTTCTGGAATGGCCATTCCAATCCCCCAACCTGAATAACATCTGAAGAGTAGAGTACAGTAGCAAAGCAATATGTACACATAAAAAAAGAAAATACCAGCTAAGGATGTACACATAGACTATTTACACATTCATAACATCTCTAATAAAAAACCAAAACAGAACACTAAAACAACAATCAGAACACACATTTACTGCAGGCTCCCCATTCCTCTGTGTACAGATCAATCTAATATTTCCATCTAAATGTTTGATGGAGGTGGGTATGAAAGAGTATTTAAAACGGTTCAGTTTGTTTTTTTGGGATTCTGAACCATCTCTGATTTGGACTGTGTGGAGAGACTGCCGAACACACCGTCATCCCATACCTGATGACACTCCCTCGCTGCCTGATTTTTTTTCCCCCTTTGTGAATGGGAAGATGTTAACATGCCCTTGACCAGATTTGATTAGAGTTTGATTTATAAGTTAACTCCGCTGCTTGTGAGCTGAAGATGGTGCTGCTGTGATTGGCTAAAAAATAGACATGGAAGGCAGCTACCCAATCAGCTCGAAGAATTGTACTGAATTTCCCTCCCTTTTGTGAACGCTTTCTACATGAGGCTTTCCAGATCAATTTGTATAGTCCAATTTGAACTCTACACTGTATCAATCTGGTCTATAAGATGTTGCCTACTGTTGTCATCCCAAGTATAATTAATTTATTTCAGTTTAGTCATAAATATATTAATGACTGGAGTCAGTGGAGGAAGTAGCTGAGAGGAGGATGCTGTCCAAGCTTACATCCATCATGGACAACACCTTCTGCACAAGACTGTAGAGGAGCTGAGCAGCTCCTTTAGTGAAAGACTTACACCCTCTTTATAAAAAGGAGCGCTACTGCAGGTCATTCATCCCTGCTGCAACCAGACTTTACAATGCAATAACTAACTAACAATAACTATTTAATACCCTGTGCAATAACTATATATGAATATCTCTATATATATATATATATATATATAATAGCCTTGTCTTAATATTTTGTAGCTTTTTTTATTTGACCACAAGAGGGCGCCATTGTACTTTTTTTTTTTTTTTTTTTTTTTTTTTACAGCAAGATGGTAAATCAGGTTAGCTACTTTATGCCTTTGCTTTCCGGTTGGTATTTTTAGTTCTAAAAATGGAAGCCCCGCACTTTTTGATTTAGTAGAGTATATCAAACATTTGGTGTATAAAACGATTCAACCCTATATTAACGATAATTGAACAATAACTGTCAACTTCTCCGTCGTTGATGTAAAAAAAAAAAAACGAATTTTCAGGTTTTATTTTGAAAATCCAGAACGGAAATAATTTCCGTCAGCTTGACGGAGGTTGGTTGGGTCACGCTGCAGCCCCAGCCGGATGTTTTGTTGAGTCCAACCCTCGTCGAAGATGGGAGGATTCGGTGGTTTTACCTCCGAGCTACCTCAGCTACGTACCTGACCGGGTAAGTGGCCGAATTAGGCGGGAGCCGAGCGGGTGTGTTATCCGGAGGAGCTGCGTGGTGAAGCGGCTGGGAGCTGGAAGGGAGGTCGTGACGGTGTTGGGTTTCTGCGGTGGCCGTGCGCGCTGCTGCGCGCTCCCTCCCCAGAAACCTCTCGTTTCTGGATAGTGGAGGACATCCTGGGGAGGGAGGCTGAGGGGCTGCATCTATTTAAACTGCATATTGCTAAATAAATAAAGCGATGAGGCAGAGAGGATGATAGGGAGAGAGGAGGCCAAGCTTCCACCTGTGGGGGTTATAGGAGGCATCCACCTGTTTGGTGTATATATATATATATATATATATATATATATATATATATATATATATATATATATATATATAAACCGTTAAATTAAGCCCTTGAAAGATAGTAGTTACAGTGATTGAAATTGGAGCTTTTAGTGCTGCTTTCTGTGCACCATTCAGTGTTTAGGAAGCTCATAACAAAAGATTTCATTCTGCTGCTTGATGCATGCATGTTAGGATTTGCTTAAACCTATAGCCTCATATTCATAAAGTGTATTTTTATCTCTGCTAATTTGACTTCTAGGCCACTTTTAAAGATTTGAATATTTACAAGTTCCACATAATAAAATATTGTGCAAGATGTGAGCCAATTCAAAGCCTCTCAGAAATAGCACATTTAACTTGTTTAACTATATATATATATATATATATATATATATAATTGGAAAAAAAAATTAATTGTTAAAATGTTAAAGGCTGAAACAATTAATCTGATTCATCGATTATTGAAATAATTGTCAACTAACTTCAACTTAGACTTATTTTTTTTAAATTTTGGACACACAAGTATAAACAAAAAGAAATTTAGTTGAGAACAGCTCTCTATGCAATTTCATTTTTTTAAAGTGCAGCCTTAAAAAAAGGAAAAAAATGCATAACTAATTTATAAATACATTAAAATTACATTTCTTTAAATACATTTTTAATTAAATTAAAATAAATACATAAAATGTATACATTAAAACTAATTTAGTACTCGATTAATGGTTGACTGGAGCATAGAGACTCTAAAAAGTGCATTTAGCTGTCAGAGCGACCCACTTAGAGCATTAATTAAACAAAAATTAAAATAAATAAAATTCAAAAAATAGATAAAAAAAAAAATATCTGTTAGTATCCTCTATCCAGAACTCTTTAGGGGGAAAAGTTTGAGTTTCACCTGGTTTAATTTTGAAAAAAAAAGTTTTCTTTAAGACTGCAATTCTGTTGATTAATCGAATTGCTAAATAATTGTTGCAGAACTTAAAATGTTTTAAATTGTGTTCATATTTGGGGAAACCTCTGCCTCCATCTGGGCTCATTAATAAAAGCAAAGGTCCTGCAGCAGTCGCTGGGGGAGCAGCACACCTGTTGGTCAGGACAGATGGCCTGAGCCTCTCCTGCTCCGACCAACTGTTTGCACAAAGCTGGTGGGTCGCTGCATCCTGCTCTTCCTTATCTGACACTTTGAGCAGATTTGGGAAGACATTTGATCGGGAAAAGGTCATGCGTTTAAAGTCAGTGCTTTGTTGCATGATTTATGGTTATATAGTTGACGAAATGACAAACATGACTGTAGGACTTCAGGTGTGGTTTGTGGACTTCAAAGAATGCTGCTCAGTTTGTGACACTGGAAAAAAGGTCCTCACTTAGCTGAACTGAACCCAGCTGAACTTAGCTGAAAGTACCAGGTTCTTTCTAAAGGAAAGCATTTAAAGCATTTAAATCATGATCTATTTGAAAAACAAAAGGAAAAAAAACCTCCAAAACAATCTCATCAAGCTGCTAGATATCAGCCAAGAGGAGAGATTTCTATTCTTTACAAATCGTCTTGTAGAGATGCACCGATCTAATACTTACACTAGTACCCTGCATGGGATAGTATCTATATCTATACTTTTTTTTTTTTTTTAGATATCACGCACAACAATAGTTACAGCGATCTACAGCAAGTTTCACTCGGCTACTATATTTAATATTAAAATATCTGTTTGCAGTGCACTTTTTTTTCTATTTGACCTATTTGACCTTTATTTAAGGTCAAATATGTCCCTTTTTCAAGGGAGTCCTGGCCAAGAGGCAGCAAAGTTCCATAATAAACAGAGATATGTTAAATTAAATGACAGGTACATGAAAAAACATATCAAGTGAAACAATTACAGATAATTGAGGCTGCTTCAAATTCTTTTACTTTCAACTTAAAAGCATTTAAAGATAAAAACTCAGTCAACTTCCAGTTTCTCTGTAAAAACTTCCACGCACAAGGAGCTGCTGTAGCTAAAGGCTTTCTTCCCTAGTTCTGCATAGACGTGTTATTTATATATTTTTTTGCCCCTAATGTAAACTTTATTTATTGATAAATAATATTAAGTAACTTTATATCAGTGTTTAATTTCTTACCCTTTTTTTCTAGCCTTTTGCCAATACACCCAGCACAGGAACTAGTTACCGGTGATGTTTTATTGTTTAAACTCTGTTGCTCAGGTGCCTAAGGTCCTTGGCTACCATAAAGTGTTTCAGATAGCTGTTATTAATCACTTGTTGCAGCAAGGCGGCTTTTTGCTTTCTAGATTTTGGCTATGTTGTTTAGCCGCTATGTTAAAGTGAATTGGATGCGCAGTGGGCGTCATGGAAACCAAAAGCAGCAAAGATTAGCGTTTCCCAGTCATCTGGCTGAAGTGTGCCACAACAATGCAGAACAGGAGCATAAACTTTCTGAGCCCCTTTACTCCCCACAGTATGTTTCTCTTCTCCCCTCCTGCACTCTCTTAAAGGACCAGCGTGCCCCCCCCTCCAGCCTGCAGCAGAACCACCCCCCAGTCTGAAACAATGAGAGAAGGGTGACTGTGGCGCTCCGCAGCCAGGTGTTCTCCATTGCCGCCCCGGGCCGTAATAGCAGCCGCCCTCACGCTGCAGCTGCCCTCCCCAGCTTCCCTTTGTGTGGCTCCATTGTTAAGCGGCCCACCCCCTCGTTGATTCATCGGCCACACAGGGGAAGCCCTTTCAGGCTAGGGACAGGAGTGTGTGTGTGCTGGAGACTACGCGTGCCTTAGGGAAGCAGGCATCTGCCCAGAGCCACTCCCCTCCTCCTCCGCCTCATGTCTCGGTGTAGGTCTGCTGCTCTCTGATTGGCGAAGAAGCTCCCACTTCAAAACCAAAAGAAAAAACGGCAGACATTGTTATTCCATCTGTCCTGGCCGCTCATTGTCCAACCTGCCTGCTTCTTGCTCTGGAAGACACTTTGCACGCATGGAGCCGCCGTGCAGACTTTGGCTCCCGATTTCAAGCCCGTTTCACCTGTAGCGTTTTTCTCCTCTGCTCAGCGAAGATTAAAAATATGTGGAAATGAGACCCTCACATCTTGCTGGCTCCGGTGAGTGAGATGAGCCCCCACCTTTCTGCTGGTAATCTCAAATATGTTCTCATGGATGCTGATTTTGTAGAATAGTGAAGATGTGTGCATGACATCAACCAAATGCTGCAAAAGTTAGAAACCGATTTTGGTTGTTTTTTCTGGTTACAATCAAAAATGATGCAGTCTTCTTTCAGCCAGCTGATCATGTGTTGAGCAACACTTATAGAATAACCCTGAACTGTAACGATGGTGTGATGGAAACAGTTTAGTAGGTTTCAAGCCCAGAGGCGTGGACTCTGCCCAGTAATTCTCATTCCTTCTTTCTGAGTCAGTTTCTCAGCGTTAAATATGCAGAGTCAAAGAATTTTGACTCTTTTAGAGTTAATAAAACAACAACTAGAGTAAGATATACTCTATGTAGAGAGTTAATTTAACACTAATTCAGAGTGAGACCAAATTTACTGTGAGTTTATGAGTTACTGGTAGGTTTTCTAAGTTGTTTTCCTGCTGCAGGGAACATATTTTTCTTTTACCGCTGGTTCTGCATTCTCCTCAAACACTCTTAGATAGATAGTAGAAGTCATGGTGTGGTAAACTGTCCCCACATCATGGCACTTCCATCTCCATGCTTCACTTTAGTCAGACCTTCCTGTTTTCTCCTTCTGACTGTGCAGACAGCTTAATTGTTGAATGTTCTGTTGAAACATTTTAGGATTTCTAGAGACTCCTGGCATGTTGAAGTTCGCCCTAGGGGCCAATCTGACACATCTATATAACATTTAGATTCTTTATTCTGCCTGTATTGTTTAAAACTTTGTAATAAATATTCTTATCTTAAAATATCTTGCAAAACATCTTCACTTTACATGACTTAAAGCTGCAGTAAATGAGATCAGTGAGCTGAAATAAACTGTTTCTGCAAGCCTTGCATGGATTTTTATCTGAAAATAAAGGCCATCGTTGCCTTAAAAAAATAAAAAATAAAACAATGAAAGTAAGTGGCATTAGTCTGGTCAGGGAATATATATAAATCCCTCCCAGCTTAGTGAACACTCTTCCTACAAATGTCTGACTGAGGCTGTTTATTTATCCAGAACATTTCAGTAGAGCAACAGGAAATATTTAAAGTGCTGCACATGAAAAAACATACAAAGAAAAGCACATTGCAGTGGCAAACAAACAATTAAATGATTAATAAACACAAATATATATATATATATATATATATATATATATATATATATATATATAGACAGAGGTCACTCTTGAGTAGATTTGTCTTTAAAATCGATTTGATTCAACATAAGGTTTTAGGGCTTTTACTGCTTCCAGATTATTGGAGCATTAGAACTAAAAGCTGCTTCTTCATGATCTGTTTTTGGGTATTCAGATTAGATTTAATCCAGAAGACCATAGAGGTATGTAATGTATTCTAGAGCTCAGCTGTTCAGTCATTTCTACACTAACAGAATAATTTTAAAGTTTGTTCTGTGAGATACAGGAAACCACTGTAAGAATTACAGAACTTAGTTGATGAGCTCTACTTTCTTCTTTTTTTTTACCCCAGAGGGAAACTGTCAGTACACTGTCACAAGTACAGAGAGTCACAAGTGCTGCACTCTCTACATTTATCCCATCCCCTTGGGGAGCAGTGGGCTGCCATTGTTCGGCGCCTGGGAAGCAGTTTGGGGTTAAGGGTCTTGCTCAGGGACTCAGAGTGCAGACTTTGGGTATCGAACCGGGTACTTGCAAACTTCTCAGAGCACAAGCGCGATGCTCTAACCATTAGGCCAGCACTCCCTAGTGGGGAGGCATATCTGGGATGCAGGTAGCAGCATTCTGGATCAGCTGTATTATTTTATGGAGTGTTCAGAGTGAACGCTGTGTCCGCAGGTAGTTTTCAGATGCACAGTGTTTACACCCTGGATGTGCTCACTATATAAAAAAAAAACTATTGTAGATTAAGAAAAGATCATGTTTCAGAGACATTAAAAATTATTTTTTAGGTCACCAAGAGGTTAACTATCCCCCATTAAGCTCCAAATTGAATCAAAATGATCACCTTACCGTAAATCCTCTAATATAGGATGGGGCCTTTATTTTACTCAGGTGCATCTTGGTCCAAAACATTGTTGGAAGGAGGCCAGAATTGGAGGCAGGCCTCTAATTCTATTTGAGCAAAACAGACTACGAGTGGAATGAATAAAAAAAATTAAAACACTAGCTTAATTTATTGAAAAAGTACAGTTACCATAACGATATACAGAACATTATCAACAAATGCTAGTAATTCAGACATCTTCCAGCAGCTTGCAGGCAAATTTTCTGCAAAAAAGCCTACACAGAATGGAATCTGACTTGCAAAACAAAGTTTAAAAAAAATTGTACAAAAACTGTTCTGCCATCAGAGCGACATTTTTTTTGTTTTAGGCTAAGTGGAAGTAGGCGACAGTTATCATATATCTCAAGGGGAATTCAGAACAATGAAGGCCAACTAAATTCTGTAATTTTGATGCTGTTCACCACAAAGCAAACGTAGTGCATTGTAAACATTTTCCATGGTGATAATTATTCATAACAAAAGACAACTTAGAGGTTTAATCACCTAGCCGCTCACTCAAATTGTCTTGTTTAGTTTGAAGTAAAACAAAACCAAAAAAAAAATTCTCCAATTCTGTTTAATCCTCCACAATTTCCCCCTTCTCTTCATCTCGCCCCATAATCTCATCACTTGTGGATCAGGACGATTGGGGCGACTACGATCTGTGTGTAAGCATAGGAATTCCCATGCTAATGGCTTGGATTCGTTAGCAAACACTGCCCCCTGTGGTAGTTGTTAATATCACAAGTTGTTGAGGACTGCCCAGAAACATTGTTGGTTCTAATTATAGCCCCGGCCTGTATAAGAGTCCGGCCATTATTTACCTCCACCGATAGCGAGACAGGTCATAATTAGAGACCCGGCCGCTAATGAAATACAGGCCAATATTAGAGAATTTACGGTAATTCATTCATGCAGTAAAAATACCGTTTGGGCTGATTAGTTTTTTAGGATAGAATAAGTTTTAATTATGGCTGATGACGTCAACATCCCAGCAGATGTTAGTCCTTGGCTCGTTTTTGCATAACATCACATGTCATTCCTGTGCTGTTATTGAGTATAAAAGTGGGGATGTTTACCTTATTTAGTGGCCGGAATGATTGTTTAATATTTAGTTAATCGCCAGCCTCCCACAGCCTTTGGACCACTTGCAACCCATGTCATTTCTTGTCAAGATCTTGCTTTTTTTTCATTTCACAATAAAAGCACAGGTGAAACTTAACTTTAAGCACTGCTGCGAAATTGTTTCTTATGAAAAATCTTTGAATCACTTTGGGGGGACCATCATTTTTTGGAAAAGCCCCAAAGATCTGAAAAAAAGATTTAACTTTTGTTCATCCATCCTCTGATTTGGTCAGATTCGGCGGGACTTCCTGGTAAACACAGAAAGCGTCGATGCTGGGCAGTGTGCAGTGACAGACGATGCTGGAGGCGATTAAAAGTTCTTCTAGGACTAAATTAAAAAAGCTTTTTTTTTAAAGAACTAAAAAAATCTTGAGAGCATTCCTCATTTCCACCCTTTTAAAATTTCTCTGTATTCCATTTTAAGTGAAAAAAGCTTAGCCTACAAGCGGTTCCTGATTGGCTGCTGTGTCGCGAATGTATAGTTCAGCTCATTTCAGCGTCAGCGATCACGGCTCCGTTCTCTCCGTGCCGTGCTGCTGTTTAACAACACCTCAGCTCTATCTAGTTGCATGAGAACGCACCATTAGGCAGACCTGTATTGAAACAAAACCCAATTTATGCCTTTTTTTTTTTACATCTACTGGAGCATATTTAGTTACTTTAACAAAACCGTTTCATATTAGCAGGATAGGGACATTACTCATTTTATCCTGGAGATGTTCCTTAGGAGAAAGAAGGCCGACTATTTTACTGTCTTAATATTCTTCTGAAGGTTCAGGTCTAATTGGTGGTTTCTAACTGAAGCTGTGCTAACATTTGAACACCTAATTCGGTCCAATAAAGAACATTTTAGCACGACCATAAATTGATTTTTTTCATGCATATGTCTAGGACCAGTCAGACAACACTAGACTAGAAAAAGAGGACGTGTCAAGAACAAGGCGAACCCCTAGAGACAGAAACTAGAACAGATAAAATGGTTTGACACTTTTTAGTCTGGCTGCACAGAATCAAGTTTTCTGATGGATATTCATGGGTATCTTTGATTTTTGATTCAGATTGGGATCAAAGATTGTTATTGGGTCTGTTTGTGCTAAATTAAAGGATGGTATTTGGTCATAATAAACCACATGATTTGATATAGTTAGGGAAAAAATATTGTTTTTACTGCATAATTCAACAGTTACTAACTAATGAAACAAAGTTGGAGATAATTACTAAAAGTGGAGTAATTGTTACATCTTAAGTGGTAGGAATGCTAAATGTAATGTTAAAAATGTGGATAAATTAGTCTAATTTTTTAAACGTGTAAAATAGATTTTTTTTTCTTTAGTCCAACTGTTTTAATGTTCTTTTTTTTGTTTCTGCATTTTTTATTTAATTTAATTTATTTTTTTCCTACTTGCTTTAATTCTGTTTTATTTTCCTATATTTTAATCACGTCAAGCACTTTGCATTGTCTTTGTACTGAATTGTGCTATACAAATAAATTTGCCTTGCCTTGAAATTACACAATGTTTTTAGTACACGGAAAAAGGACCGGCCCCTCCCCCAGCTGTCGCTAAAACTGTTTTTTTTTTTTTTTTTTACTTTTCTCTGGATTTTTAATGTAGAAGCTCATTTTGAACAAACTGTGCAGACATGCTGCCTGTTTCACTTCCCCTTATTGTAGTTTTAGTCTGAACTACAACTGAATAAAAAATATTCATAAAACATACAGTAAATGTTCACAGGCTTTAGTGTCCAATTTTTAAGCATTTTTACTAAATGAAATATGATTCAGGGGTTTTTAACAAATAGCTGCTTTAAAATTGATCTTTTAT